ATTCTAATAGTGATTTTCTATTTCCCTCATTGCTTCTACATTAATTGGAATGATTCTTTTTTTTTTTTTTTTTTTTTTTTTTGAGACGGAGTCTCGCTCTGTCGCCCAGGCTGGAGTGCAGTGGCGCGATCTCGGCTCACTGCAAGCTCCGCCTCCCGGGTTAACGCCATTCTCCTGCCTCAGCCTCCCGAGTAGCTGGGACTACAGGCGCCCACAACCGCGCCCGGCTAATTTTTTGTATTTTTAGTAGAGACGGGGTTTCACCGTGGTCTCGATCTCCTGACCTTGTGATCCGCCCGCCTCGGCCTCCCAAAGTGCTGGGATTACAGGCGTGAGCCACCGCGCCCGGCTGGAATGATTCTTTAAGGAAGATTATCTCTTCTAGTCCATTTATTTATTTATTCAGTTATTTATTTATATCAGTATAGGCCCAACAATATTTATTTTATTCCTTGGTTTATAATCCAATACTATTCTTATTTACCTTCTTGCTCAAATAACTTTGGTAGGAGCTCTTTTAGGTTAGCTCCTGTGCCTTTTTCACATGTTGCCAACCTCTCTGAGCATTTTCTGACATCACAATTTGTTCCAGGATAAACTTGTATTTTCTCTCAGTCTCAAATCAATCACCTCTTCAATAAGCTATGGTTCCTTTTATTGGACACTTTACCAGTCTAGCCTAGTATACTGATGGTAGTTAAAAAACAAGATTTGGGTATTACTTGTTGTATCAGTTCATTCTTGCATTGCTATAAAGAAATATCTGACACTAGGTAATTTGTATAAAAAAAGAAGCTTAGTTGGCTCATGGTTCTGCAGGCTGTACAGGAAGCATAGCAGCTTCTGTTTCTGGGGAGGCCTCAGGAAGCTTCCTATCATCACAGAAGGCAAAGGGTAAGTGAGACATCTCAGATGGTGAGAGCAGGAGAGAGAGAGAAAGAGAGAGAGGGAGGAGGTGCTGCACACTTTTAAGCAACCAGATATCATGAGAACTCACTATCATGAGGACAGTACCAAGGGGGACGCTGCTAAACCATTCATGAGAAACCATAATCCAATTGCCTCCCACCAGGGTCCACTTCCAACTCAGGGGATTGCATTTTAACATGAGATTTGGTGGGGATACAGAGCCAAACCATATCTGGTATATTCCTTGCTATTGGGGTGTTACTTCTTCTAAAGCTTCTCAGCAGACAGAGCTAGGAAATCTGTGTGTGTATACTAACTTACATATGCACACACCTATATTTATTTCTGTATTTCTGACTCCAATCTAGCAGCACAAGTTTCATTCTAGCCTTCTTCCTTTCCTTTTTTATAACCTCATTCTTTGGATAGTAAGAAACTGAATTCTCATTATCTATAATGTATTTATTTGCTTAATTCTACTATTGTAGGATTATCTAAACTATTTGTCAAAGTTACTTCAGCCATATCCTTTTTTTCCCCCTTCCCTTCAGTGTGGTTATGTGATTCATTTCATTTGATTTATTTATTGTAGTCAGTTTCATTAGTCACAGCCTGCATTCCATCTTGGATTCCTTCTGCTTCCCTACATGGTGATTGATTTATTTTGTTTGATTTTTAAAAAAAAATTCTTATTTTTTATGGAAAAGCCTCATTTTGTCATACATTATGTTTATCTTTTCTCTACTTTCTTTAACATATCAATAATGATAATCTCTGGGTCTGCTTCCATTGACCGTTAAAAAAAAATTTGGTGTCCTTTTCCTGTTTCTTTAAATGTCTGGTAATTCTTATTGTATGCTGGACATTGTGGATAATAGATTGTAGAGGTTCTGGATTATGTTAAATTACCAGAGAGCCACTCTGATCCTGTCAAGTCTTGGTTTTAGGCCTTGCTAGGTCAGACCTATTTTATTTTTGCGTTTACTTCTATGAGTTGTCCCTATTATAAGGTGAGAGCTTTCTGGGGTCTCAAAAGATTGGGATGTTCACCAAGGTCTCACAATGTCTCCTCATTAATATGTGAATTCAGGTATTTCTGCTTGGTTATCAGCCTCTTAGCAAGAATTTTTAAGGGGCTTCCCACAGTTTCACCCTGTAATTGTGCAACTTTGGATTTGGCCAAGGATCTGAGAGAAATTATATACAGTCATGCACTGCATAAAGTGTTTTGGTCAATGACAGTGGTGGTCCCATAAGATTATAATACAGCTGAAAAATTCATATCATCTAGTGATGCCATGGCTGTCATAACATCATAACACATTACTCATCTGTTTGTGGTAATGCTGGTGTAAACAAATCTACTGTGCTGCCAATTGTATAAAAGTATAGCACATACAATTATGTACAGTACATAATACTTGGTAATGATGATAAATGACTATGTTACTTGTTTGTGTATTTATTATAATATACTTTATATTGTTATTTTAGAATGTGCTCCTTCTACTTGTATTAAAAAAAGGTAGCTGTAAAACAGCCTCAGGCAGGTTCTTCAGGAGGTGTTCCAGAAGAAGACATTGTTGTCATAGGAGATGACAGCTCCATGTGTGTTATTGTCCCTGAAGAACTTCCAGTGGGATGTCAGGTGGAGGTAGAAGACAGTGATATTGACAGTCTTGGCCCTGTGTAGGCCTAGGCTAATGTGTGTGTTTGCATCTTAGTTTTTAAGAAAGAAGTTTAAAAAGTAAAAAATAAATTAAAAATTTTAAAAATAGAAAAAAGCTTATAGAATAAGAATATAAAGAGAAAATAATTTTCTATAGCTACATGATAGCTACATGATGTGTTTTAAGCTAAGTGTTATTACAAAAGAGTCAAAAAGTTAAGAAAATTCAAGTTTATAAAGTAAAAAGTTACAGTAAGCTAACATTTATTTTTGAAGAAGAAAAAATTAAAACAATAATTCTAGTGTAGCCTAAGTGTATAGCATTTATAAAGTCTATAGTGTATACTGTAATGTCCTAGGCCTTCACATTTACTCACCACTCATTTACTGATTCAACCAGAGCAACTTCTGGGCTTGCAAGCTCCATTCATGGTAAGTGCCCTATATAGCTGTACCATTTTAAATCTTTTATACTGCATTTTACTGTACATTTTCTATTTTAGATATGTTTCAATATGCAAATCATTAAATTACTGTTGCATTACAGTTGCCTACAGTATTCAGTATAGTTACATGCTGTACAGGTGTGTAGCCTGGGAGCAATAGGCTATACCATATAGTCTAGGTGTGTAGCAGGCTAAACCATCTATGATGTTTGTGCAATGACAAAATTGTCTAATGATTCAGTTCTCAGGATTTATCCCTGTCATTAAGCAACACATGACTGGATATTTTCCCACTGGTTCCCTATTGTCTATTATTCTCCCCTCCACCCTTCCAGATTCCCGTGGCCTTAGCACCCCCTAACTCCTACCCCTGTTTCTTCCCATCTCTCCTTGGAATGTTTTTTCCTGTACAGCAGATTGAAAAATATTCACAGAAAAAACCAGGATGAATGTGAGTTTTGCTTCCTTTCTCTCAAGGATCATAGCCCTGCAATGATTGCCATCCAGTGCCTGAGAATTCTTCTGTGTATTTTTTTCAGCTTTATTGTTTCAGCAGGAGTTTAAATTCAATACTTGCTACTATATCACAACTGATCATTTTTCTCTTTCTTTCTTTCCCTCCCTCCCTCTCTCTCTCTCTGTTTCCTTCCTTCCTTCCTTCCTTCCTTCCTTCCTTCCTTCCTTCCTTCCTTCCTTCTTTCCTTCTTTCTTTCTTTCTTTCTTTCTTTCTTTCTTTCTTTCTCTCTCTTTCTCTCTCTCTCTCTCTCTCTCTCTCTCTCTGTCTCTTTCGAGATGGAGTCTTGCTATGTCACCCAGGCTAAAGTGCAGTGGTATAATCTCGGCTCACTGCAACCTACGCCTCCCGGGTTCAAGCGATTCTCCTGCCTCAGCCTCCCAAGTAGCTGGGATTACAGGCGCCTGCCACTGCGCCTGACTAATTTTTGTATTTTTAGTAGAGACGGGGTTTCACCATCTTAGCCAACTGGTCTCAAACTCCTGACCTCATGATCCACCTGCCTCGGCCTCCCAAAGTGCTGGGATTACAGGCGTGAGCCACCGTGCACGGCCCTGATCATTTTTCTAAATAAGAAGCTTGTAGACTCATAGGATTTCAATTATTCTGTCAAGCAGAGGGGAGAAAAGAAACATGCTAGTGATCCTTATCTGATTTCACTTCAAACTCTTACAAGGATTTCTATAGTTCGTTACACAAAGTTTTCAATTACATCCTTATTACTAGAATAAAAATGATCAACTAAGAGAACCAATCAGAATTACAGGGTTCTTTTGGAGGCTATTTTTGTGTCTAGAATCTTTATAATCTTATAAGACCTTTTTTCTTCTTTCAAATAGCCCTTCCAAGATCTGATATATATTAATAAGGAATGGGACCAAAGGTTATGAATAGTCATGTAAACGTCCATATTTCATAGGAAAACAATATTAATATCCTCTGGAACTTCTCAATTTAATGCTTTATCAAATTGGATTTTTTCCTGCAATTTACAGCACAAAGAACACCTCTCTTCCTTGAGAGCCATAGAAAAGGAGGAGGATACTCCCTAAGCTCCTTTCTTGGGATGATTTATTTGGTTGTGAAGATTTGTGTGTTTAGACCCAGACTCTGGAATTTCATTTATCAAGTTTATAAGCAAAAATTAGGCTTGTAAAGCTCAAATTTACTAGGAGAAATGAAAAAAGAACTACAGATTTTCTATATAATGACAGTGAATTAACTGGACATATAGCATTTTTTTTCTGTATAATGTAAAGGTGGTTATTAAAAGTTTACATGTGATTTTGTGACTATATCTTTCCTCTGTCCCTCAGCTGTCAGATGGCATGTAGATCAAACGTCATAATGCTCCCTAGGATTGTGAGAGTGAAGCTCCATGTATAACACACTTGAATTAACTGCAACCTGAGTAACCAAAACACTGTATTAACCAGAGCATATTCTACTGCTTCACTTTCAGGAAAAAAAAAAAAAAGAAGCAAATGATACCAAGACAAGCTCATAACAGAGATCCAATCGGCAGATGTGTACGGATGAAAATACAGGTACAAATGAATTGCTTATAGCCTTTTGGATCTGCATCTAAATTTTTGTGTAATGATGACTAGTATTCAGAATGTCACAGTAGAATGCAGAATCAGCAAAAGAATGAGCAATCAAATTTTCAGTAAGAGTTAAATACTTCTTTAGTATGTCCAGGTGGCTCACCCTATTCTAGGTTCTGGGAGCAGAAATATATATAAAAAAATTTATCTACCCCAGAGGGTCTATGGCCCAAGCCACCGTGTGTCTGTACTTGACAAACTCACATATCATGCACAGTGGAACAGCCATTCTCTGATAAACAGACTTCCTCCCTTTATATTCCCAAACTCTCTGCAGGAGAGTCCTTCCATCTTTTTGTGTTAACTGAATCTAGCCTGTTCTCTGAGAACAAGGCTTTATGTGTTAGCCTTTCAAATGGCGGCCACTTTACACTCCAGGTAGCTCCAGGTTTGAGAGTGTGGTCAGTGTCCTCCCCATTGCCACTTTTAGGCTACCATGCCTTCACCCTCTAGTTAAATCTCTGCATTTTGAAGCTTGTGCTGCATTCCTGCCAGACTTCACTGGGCCTCCAAGTCGCACCTCCTCCTTTGCTGATGGTTTTTCACTGGGCTGCCCACTCCCTCTCCACTTAGGTGACTTTACTATTTACTTGAATGAACTATTCACCTATCCACTCTGCTCATCCATCTATTGTCATTGTGTGACCATTGTCAATACCTGAAACTACTCCATCAACCAAACAGTGCAAACATCTAGCATCTCATTCACCATCTTCCTTTCTTTTCATTTGTTATACATATCCCATTACAAGTCTTCTTTCACTAGGTGCTTCTAGTTGACTTGCCCTTTCACCTCCCATTCATTTACCTATTCTTTCATCTATCACCTTTTTCTACCTTCTATTTTCTTCACATTACTGATAGATTCTAAGATCCATTACTTCAATTTTTCTCTTGCAAATTGTCTGGCGAATTCCACCCGGGATGAACCTATCCATCTCCTCTATGTCTACACCCAGGCTGCTAAGAAAAACTAAAGAATAACAGAGTGAAGCAGATTTGTATTTCTGCAAATTAATGGTCAGTGACCTCAACTAGACTCTCAAAACTGGCCAGTTTATTTTCTACAAAATCTCTCTTAAACCCATTCTATTCCTCTCAAGCCTCCAACTCTGTTTTTCTCAGCATTTTTCCATTTCACTGGAAAAATGGAAACTATTAGATGGAGACTTCATACGGTCAAAAGTCTTCTCACTTCTAACAAAGGCCAACGATTTTGCATGTAGTCTGCACTCTAGCTCCTCAGGTTTTTCTCAAGAATATTAATTATTTCCTATCTTTCTGATATTATTTCTATTTCTTCCTCTCTACTTCCCATTAGCACTTATGCATGCTCCAATTTATCTCATTACTACAAGCAACTCAACAAACCAGCGAAACATCTCTCTCTGTCCCCACAAAGGACCCTTTGCAAACCACATGCTTCTCTGGCTACTACCAGTCTCTCCCACTGTTCTCAAATTTCTGGGCTGGGTTGCCCATAGTTTCTCTTTCTATCTTTAGTCACTATTCCCTCCATAAATCCTCAAATTCAACTTCTGTCTGTTTCAACAACTCCATGGAATCAACTCTTGCTAAAGTCACCAATAATTTTCATACCACTTAATCAAATGTACTCATGTTGTCCTCATATCACGCCACCTTTCAGAGTCATTCTACAAAGTTGACCATTTCTTCTATTGAAATACTTTTTCCCTTTGATTCCCATGATGTCACATGCTCCTAGTTTCTCTTCTACCTCTCTCATTCAGCCACCAAGGCAATCCCATCCACTATCATGGCTTCAATTGCTACCTATACTCCAACAACTTTCAAATTCTATCTCTAGCCAACTTCTCCTCTGAACTATTCACATGACATCTTCATCTAGAAGCCTTCAAACACCTCTACTTGAATGCATTAAAAGTGAACTCATGCTTCTGTTTTTTCCCCAAACCTTCTTTTTCTACAGTAGATACTTCCAACACCTATCTAATTGCTCAAATGACAGACCTTGGATATACCGTTGACTCCTTCTCATTACCGCTTCTTATGTGCAACGAATTACCAAGTCTTGTTAATTCCACTCTTGGAATATTTTGTCACCACCATCATTAGTCACATGGCCTCCTGGAATGGGCTTTGCCCACAAAAACTATTTTCCTCAAAGCTATGGAAGTAAGCTTACAAAAATGCACCTCTGATTATGACATATTTCTACTTTAATATCCTTCAGTATATTAAAGATTTCCCTCCCTTCTAGTATTTTTTGACCTACAAAGCATGTCAGTTCACAACGCAGCCTCTGATTTCCTCTCCAGCCCATCCTGCTCCACTCTCCTTCTTACATACATTGTTATAGCCGCACTGGTCTTGTTCTAAGTCCTCAAATGTACCTCCTCAACCCCAACTCAGAGCCTTCTGTCCCAAACACTCTAGGCTTACTCCTCCCTCTGCTGCAATAACATTGACTCACTCTTCAGCTCCTACCCTCCAAGAAGCCTTCCCTGACCTCTAATCCTAGTTAAGATCCTCATCTATATAGACTCATTGCCAACTGTATTTTTCCTTCAAGGCACTAGTCACAAATCTAATTAAACAACTACTTCTGAAGATGGTACTTGTTTAACGTGTGTCCTCCTTGCTAGAATGTGCACTCCTGAGGTCAGGGTCTTTGTTCATTGTCATATTGTCAGGGGCTAACATTATGTTTGGCTTATCATATGTGCTCAGTGACTGCTTTTTTGAAGGAATGAATGATTTTAATATAACATGGTAAGTATAAAGATGGAGGCATAGAGATTGCAAAATGGAACAGAGATAAGTGGCATTTCATTCAGCCAAGGAAGTCTACCAGTGTAATTGCTATTGCATGATTCAGATGATGGTCTTGAACACAAAATTTGGGAATAGGGTGGTCAGCAACCTAGTGCTTATTTCAGCTTGTGTCTCCAGCTTGGCCTCTTCTTTGTCTCTCAAAGAATGGAACCCCTGGAAAACCCAAGGCAGCTTAGTAGCTATCACCATTCACTAGTTGTAGGTGGAGCAATAATTTAACCCATCAGATAATCTGAGTTCTCTTCTTAAGTCCCCTGCTGTGACCATAGATCATTTAGGTTTTTCTATAAAGCAATACAATTTGGGAGATTGGTTGTCTTCCCCATCATTCAGGAAAGAATTATAAGAGGATTTGTTTTACCTACATATGTATACATTCAAAATCCTCTCATTTTCATAGGAGAAACAAACCATCCTTATTTCTTTATTTCTTACACCACAAACACTGGATTAAGAAAGGCAAATAATTGTAAAACCGAGTGCACTTTGAAATTAGGATGCTTTCTATGGAGAGACAATTTTATGCCAAAACCTTAATTTTTAAACTACCCTTGCTGGGAACCTGACAAAAGCAGCCCAAGTCCTACATAACATCCCAGGGGACAGAAGCACCTGGGGATTTTTAAGACACTTTCAATCGAATCAGTTTCAACGTTCATTCATTGAGCGGATGGTGAAACAGAACGCTGAGGATTCAGACAGAAACTCTGTCCTCAAAGAGCTCATGCTGAGGTCACAGACATATAGCCACATTGTTATAACGTAATCCACAAATAGAAGTATGTACAAGTTATAAAGATGGCCCAGAGAGGGACAGATCTTTTTGGGGGATCAAATCCTGATGAGGTAGACCTCAGCTGGGTTGTTAAGGATGAATAGGCATTTACCACACAAGCATGATGGGGAAAAGGCATTCCAGGGAAAGGTCCATCTTCTAATCACAGGATAATGCTTCTGGCCTGTACCAGCAAGAAATGGTGTGGGAGGTGAAGGACAGAGACCAAGCCATGAGGGGTCTATGTGCCATATTAATTGAGAAACAAGTACTTGGTTCTGTAACTGAGGGAACCCTTAAAGTTTTTGAGTAGGGACAGATATAATCAATTTCACGTCATCTCTGTGGCAACGTGGTGGATAGATAAGGGAAAAGTGAGTCTAGAGTCAGGGCTGGCCAGCAGATAAACGGAGAGACCAGCTGGGCCCGCCTGTCCCCTCAGCCTGTGGAATATTCATCCACATACAATTTCAGGCTAAATTTGAGTGTTCATAAGCTAAAACCATGTATTGTATAATTTTAGATACAAGAAACTGAAGGGTATCATGTTATTTACGTAACATTCAGAAAACTACTGCACTTCTTGATTGTTTATCTGGCCCCACTATAATAAGTGAAGGTTTTACTCCTGAAATGTTGCTAAATAAATTATCTGTGTGCTAAAGATAACAACCTTAGGTCACACCCTTTCCTTTCCCTTAGAATAGCTGGAAGCAGGTAGAGTTTGTTCATCAGAAGGGACTTTTGCACAACTTTATGAGATAGTTGCAGGTGGGCAGTGTGGTTCTTGGACCACATTAGTTGGTCCTTGTTGCCTAAAACAAAGCAAAACAATAAGGGCATTTAACATGGCTTTGTTTTGTGTCCCCACATGGGCCTTCAAAATAATTAGGACTCTCTTATGTTTTCATTTTTTCATAGTCTTAGCAGGTCCCCACATCAGTATTAGATTTTGACATCTTGCTGCTTTCTGTGGAAAAGCACCCAGATTCCAAATAAATATGTGTATGAAATTTTCCATTACCGGGCACTGGTTTGTCACCAACAATCTACTGTTCAACATTTATTGTACTAATTTGTAAACATAATCGTTGTCACGGAGACAAATGGATAAACAAGGACAGACAGATAATGACATCTTTAGAGACAGCATGTGGTAGTTACAGCTAACCTTTGGGTCCTACATTTTTGTGTTTTTGCTGCTGTGGACTGACGAACACAGAAGCCATTGTTTTTTAGTGTGTGAATCTACACTCAGAGAAAAAGGCTCAGCCTCTGGTCTGAGAGGATTAGCAAAGTTTTAGAGACTACTAAAGGTCTCTAAGGGTGAATGGGGAATGAAATTACT